TACAAGCTTGCATTCTGTAAATCAGGTCTATGGTGATGGGGGCCTGAATTAGAGGAGGCCATTAGGATGGAGAGGACAGAGGGAACACAGGAAGCCATGACTGTAGAACTTGGCATAGAAATAAGGGAGAACCAGCAGAGTGGCTCCCACGTTGCAGGATTAAATGTTTAAATGAGTGATTTCATCACTGTTGACTGGAATACATAATACATGGGGAACATATTTGGAGGAATTATTTACAATTGCTTTAGTAAACATTCTTATCTCATGTTTTCCACCAGAATATTAATAACCTTATGTGCCAAATCATAATAGTTAGCTTCCTGAAATCCTTTTTAAAATCAGTTATCTCTTTAGTATTAAGTGCAGTGTTGTTAAAGTTCCATCTACATTTGGATAGTTGCAGCAGCGGTTTTCTAGTAAATTGTAACATACATATTCAGTTAAGCCATATAAGTGATCACAATAGAATTAAATCGCTTCATGATTTTGCTCATTAAGATAAAACAAATTGGCCATACTATTTCTCACCATTTCATAATTTGATACTTCAAGCGAATGTATCATAATTAAATCTCAAAAAGCACTTGAAAGGAGAAATTCTGAGTCTCACGTTAAGCTTTGAACCATGAGAAAATAAGAACATATGAACAGACTGTTGTTGGAGGCTTAGATCTAAAGAGACTAAACTGATCTTTCTTAGCTGTGAGCTGTGCCCGCCTCTGGGACCAACACACAGATGCCAATGCAGACCCTTGAGCCAGCTTTCAAACACATTTGTGCCTCATTCATTTCAAAAATTAAACTTCATCTCCGTAGAAAGAACGAAGCTTGCAGTGTGGGAAATCTAAGAATTATTGGTGGAATCCTTTAAATCTGTTTATGAAGATGTAAGATTTTACTAATTTATAGGTAATGCTGCATTTGTGAAGACCCAAGACCAGCACTCTTCACACAGAGGTCCATAAATGGCACATGATGTTTGTGTGTTTGTTTGAGATGGAGTCTTGCTCTGTTGCCCAGGCTGGAGTGCAGTGGCACAATGTCGGCTCACTGCAAGCTCCGTCTCCCAGGTTCGAGCAATTCTCCTGCCACAACCTCCCGAGTAGCTGGGACTACAGGCACCCGCCACCACGCCCAGCTAATTTTTGTGTTTTTAGTAGAGATGGGGTTTCACCATGTTGGCCAGGCTGGTCTCGAACTCCTGACCGCAGGTAATCCACCCACTTTGGCTTCCCAAAGTGCTGGGATTACAGATGTGAGCCACCATGCATGGCCAAGCTGCATGTGTTTTGAGCCCATTTCAGCAAGGAGCTCTGGAATGCTTATCTGGCCAGGCTGGCTCAGAGTGAGGGAGGGAAGGGCAGTGGCATATGGCATTTTCAATCCAGAGGTGAGAGCATCCCCATACCAGAGGCACAGAGGGTCCAAGACAAGGGTTTATTGCTTTCCTGTCATGTGGTTTTCATTCCAAGTGAAAGAGATCACACACGTGTTGTGCCTGGCTTTTTACATGATTGGGTTTATGGCATTCATGGAGCTTTTTCATTTAAGAGGCAGCATTCAAAAGATGCCATAATAAAAGATGCTATAAACACAAGAAAATGAAGTCATCTATCTTTCTAGTATTTGTTGATGTAGAGATGGCGTAGGCTGGGAGGAATGCCTGGAGAGTATTAAATCAAAGAAACAGCAATGATCGCTTTACATATTTTCTGTTAAAAGCCTATGATGTCACAAAAATCCTGAGTGTTATCTGCCATAAATAAAATAAAAAATAAATGCATTGTAAGTAAAAAAAGATAGAGTATTTAAAACAGTAGAAAATAAAGATCGTATTAGGTTCCCAGGTAAAGTTGGTGGCGTGGACACACAAGTTGCTTTCTATCCTACTGGAAACATACTAATACAGTATTAGAGGGGTTGATTTTTCAAGGCATAAATGCACAAAGTCAGAATAAAAGAGAAAGAACCATGTTGATTTTAAAAAGTAGAATCTGGAAATACATTGAAGAAGCATGAATTCAAGGCTAGCAGAGGAGAACTGTGTGGAAGACAATGCTGCCCAGTCCTGTGATTCTTAGAATGGCCTGCTTGCAAGGCTAGCTATTGACTGGCATCTGGGAATCTGGATTTCAAGAAGGTTTCTACCATTCCCAGATGGCAAGAGTGGCTCTCTGTGCTTAAATTGTCTGTACAAACAATGTGGTGTATACTGAAAGCTTCCTTGGGGGAATCTGGACTTTTCGTAAATGCAAAGCAAGGATGCTTCTGCAACCAGACCCCAGTGAAAACCCTGAGTACCAGGTCTCCAGTGAACTTCCCCGGTAGACCATCTTCCCTGTACATCATCAGAACTAGCTGTTGGGGGACCTGAGTACATCCTTTGTAACTCCGCTGCGAGAGGTCTCTTGGTTGTGCCACCTGGCTTTGTCTAGACTTCTACCCCATGTGCATTTTCTCTTTCCCGATTTTGCTTTGTATTCTCTTACTGTAATAAATTATAGCTGAGAACACTGCTGCATACAGAGTCCTATGGATCCTGCTATCTAATCATAGAAACTGGAGGGATCTTGGGGACCTCCAGCACATATATGAAAAGAATCATCTCAATGCACACCAGAGACCCCTCAGAGAACTCAGAAATCAGCAGCCCCGTTTTCTTTGTTAGTGGCAAAGTAACATTGGCTGACTTCTGTTTAAGAAGTTGTCAGACCTCCATATCTCTCTTCTACTCCACCAAGGGGACTAGACCTGCTCTGTCCGGCAGATGCTAGGAAGCTTATTTTCTGGAGAGGAAAACAGAGCGTCTCTGGACCTCTGAGCACTGAGCTCAGTTAACTGGGTGCTTCAGAACTGAGAAAGGCAGAGTCAGATAAATGACTGTCTACTGGACACTGAGAGTTCAGCCCTCTTCCTCCACTTGGCTCCCAGATCCTCCATGGCTCAGTCTCCAGCACCCAGACAGGCAAGACACTGGAGCAGTCTTCTCAGGGGTCTCGGAAGAGTCCAGCAGGAAAGGTTTAAGATTCTGACAAAGATTCTTAAATTCTGGTTAAAGATGCTTAACCAGATCTGACCAGGTCTATAGACTTCTCTGTCCTTAGACCTTCCAGTTAAACTTTTTAGCCCTCCACTCTAATTCAAAGCAGAAAACAAAGAATGTTCAGATCACAGAAGAAACAATCCAACGAGAAAGACAGCGATCTAAAAAAGCAAAGGGAATTCAGCAACTAGAAGATACAGAAGCTATAGAGAGAGACTAACACCTTGAAATAATTCATCAGTGTACTCAGTGTATTCAAATCATCAATGTACTCGAATTGGAGAAAGTAGTGTGACCAAAAAAATATGAACAGGATACAATAAAAGGGGATAATCAAGAACCAAAAAATAGACACAAAAAGGCTTTTGGAAATTTAAAATGTAGTAGATAAGATGAATATTTCAATCATCATTTTGGAAGATAAGGTTGAGGAAATCTTCCAGAAACTAGAGCAAAAGATGAAGATATGGAAACGATGAGATAAAAGATGAGAAATGTAAAAATGGATAAATGAGTTTACATCCAAAAGATAAGAGATGCAGCAAGAAAAGGGAGGGGGAGCATGAAATGAAGTAATCAAGAATATTTCTGCTCACGCCTGTAATCCCTGCACCTTGGGAGGCCAAGGCGGGCAGATCACGAGGTCAGGAGATTGAGACCATCCTGGCTAACACGGTGAAACCCCATCTCTACTAAAACTACAATAAATTAGCTGGGCGAGGTGGCGGGTGCCTGTAGTCCCAGCTACTCGGGGGGCTGAGGCAGGAGAATGGCGTGAACTGGGGAGGCGCAGCTTGCAGTGAGCCAAGATCGTGCCACTGTGCTCCAGCCTGGGCGACAGAGTGAGACTCTGTCTCAAATAATAATAATAATAATAATAATAATAATTCTAAAACCAAAGGAATTTGTAGATTCAAAGGTTTTACCAAAAGAACCCAAAGTCAAGTTTAGCTCTATGGTGATAAGTATCAAAATATGCAACTGAAAGAGGTGGAGAAATGATAGAGCAATTTTCTTATTTTATGGTAAAACTTAACGAGTGATTTAATTCTTATTTTATTAATACAATATTGTTAAAAATCTTTAATCCTGTGGCCATCACTAGGTGTATTATGTGTATGGGTTTTCCCTCCAGTGAAACCCGTTGCTGTAAAATGGAGAAATTATGTCACACTGCATCCAAGGTCAACTCCTGTATCCCTCCTACTGGGCTCTGTGTTTGCAGCAATTGTATGTAGAACGCTTGTCAAATAAATCAGTAGGTGCTCCAGGCAGATTTTCATCATCTCCACCTGCCAGACCTCCAAAGCCACTGTGTGCTCATCTACCCAGGACCTTCCTACCTGTGGTTCCAAGGGAGGTACCTGGGAGGGAGGGAACAGAACTTACATTTCAGTGTACTCTGAGGAGATGCTGAGAAGGGCTTTGAAGGTGTCAGCTGTGAGATGATGGGAAACCTTCTTATACATAAAAAAGTCTCTTGCATCATTTTATCTTGTGGCTCCCCTACCACTCTAACACCTCACATCTGTGATCCCAGGTCTTAAGACATCCGTTAATCTCAAACTGAATATTACGAGGTTTACAGATCAATCTTTTCAAGAAAATGCTAAACTTAACATCAGAATAATGGGTACTTTCAGCTAGTCATTAAGTGAAAGGAAGATGACTTTTATGGGATCGCTGGGGTTTTTTCCCACAAGCAATTAAGTTTGTTGTCTCATTCCCTTTGTTTACACAGGAGAGACTGAGGATTCCTTTTGGAGATGTCTTGAACACTGAGCATTCTGCTGAATGCCTAATTTAACACAAATGTGTTTTTAGTTTGGTAGAGTAGCTGTGTCTTAGGAGCTGGTGTTTTAGAGACGCCTATCTTTCCCTGAAGGAAAGGAGCCTTTGGTGAGGTTGCTGTGTTCACCCTGTATGGTAATGCTCGCCTGCACGTTCTCCCCAGGAGTACCAGCCTTGCAACACCAACCCGTGTCCCGAGCTGAAGAAGACCACACCCTGGACACCGTGGACGCCTGTCAACATCTCTGACAA